AATCACCTCAAATAAAGCACGAATAGACATGATAGGTATTATGTTTCAAAAATATTATTTTAAAAGATTTGAAATTTTTTAAGTTAATTTAATTTTTTAATTTTTTTTAATAATATTTTATAATCTAAAATCATAATATACCGTAAATTGCTGTTTTTAATTTTCAAGTAAAACGCGTTGAACTAATTAATTCATAAAAGACAACTGGCGAATAATATATTCAATGATCTTTGTTATTATTAACGTTGTAGACTACCAGGTATTGAGTGAGAAGGTTCTCGAAATAAATTGGATACTATATAGTAGGCATAAACTGTACCATAACATTTATAATTGAGTTATGCACGTGAAATCAATTTACAAGTATATTATTAAAGCTAAATGTTTCGCCCAAAATAAATTGTTTACGTACACTATCCGTAGGCAAACACTTATTTAAATTAAAAAATAATAATTCATTTTGAAACATATCGTAAATCGATCTACTATTATTAAATTTATTTCTAAAAACGAGCATAAAATTAAAAAATAATCTAGTTTCCAGTAGTTATAAGTATTACAGATTCAACCCAGTAATATAGTGATGACAATATAGTACACACATTAAGCATTATAAAAAAAAAAAAAAACAATAAAAACATGAAATTTAGCTGTGAAGCTAAAAAAATTTATATTTTATTCTAAAAGGACTTTAATTGATGGGCTACCGGTCGGTAGTTTCGGCATAATATTAACTAAGAACGCCAATGATGATGTTGTAATGTACAAAATATTGTGCTGTGCCACAAATGAACACGGTGCAAGCGGTAAATTATTCCGTCATGGAACGTTACACCTCCTGTTAATTAGATCATCATATAGTAATAGAATCAAGAAAGTAAAAGAACATTTTAAAAAGCCAGATATGAGAAAAATAATAGTAAAATTAAACATGGATAGACTTATCGATCTAAAGATTCATCAATTTCAAACAAAATAATAAAACGAACAGTCGGTTTGATGTTAATTATCATAATTTCATTGGTATCAAAATGCTTAAACAGTTTTTTAACAGGTTCAAACATTTTTCGTTTATTTTAAATAAAATTCAGTTTCAACTAATATTGTTGAATTTATTGGAAAATTATTTGTTAGGAATGAATTTTGTTGTATTTCTTTTGATATTTTAGAAATGAATTGATATTTTAATAATCCAACACTGTTTTCCTTCAGTGTTAAAATTTTATAACAAATGAAATACTTTTTATTATTAGTTAAAGACCTAATTTATTGTTATTCGTTTTTATTTTCAATGAAACTGAATATTATTATTGTAATCAAATTCCGATTGAATAGATAAAGAAATCTACGATTTAAGTACAAAGAGAAGGGAAAACGAGAAAAAAAAACGTTTCGATTAATAATTAAAATTATATACGGATAGATATCCAAGAAGAAAATGAAATGAATCGAATTTCTCCGGATATCACTGAAGTTTGTTTTAAAAATAATCTTTTTGCCATAAAATGTATAAACATAATACTCAATTGGGCAATATACCATTAATGTTGCGTGAAAAAAATACTGGAGTGGTCGCATCGTGTAATACGGAAACTTACTCGTTATTCACTAGTTGGTAGTTATTTGGCCCCCGACCTCTGATGCTACAGATTAAAAAAAATGTTTATTTATTCCGGTTCCGCTGAATAATATGTAAATATGTGTTATTTCAATTACGGAGAAGCTACATGTTTCAGAAGTATAAATCGTCGTTATTCGCTCACATTATTTTTTCCCAGTAAAACAAAAATGATCATTTTCCAGAGCACGGTGATTACGACGTAATTTACGTGAAAATACCCACTTCAATATAAATGTTTGCCTGTAACTCGAGAGTGTCAAAATTAGTATTTTGTTTGATTTTCGACATTGAAAATGATGTAATTATTTTAACAAAATGTTCACATTTAATCATTTTAAGATACGATAATTTCAAGCCATTTTTATGGAAAGTATCACTTAAACATTCAAATGTTACCAAAAATAGCTAAAAATGGCATATAACGATCGCTTTCCTAAAAATCTAATAGAAATAAAAACACTTGTAAAATCTTAGACGGTGTAATTTTCAATTAAAACCATACGGTTCAATTTCATTTGAAAAACGACAACATTTTGGTAACGTCAAACGAACAAAACGCTCATTTTTTTGATATTCTTAAATCACACGGAAAAAAAATAAACGTTGAAGCGATGATTTCCACATAAATTGCAACGTAATTAGCATGCTCTGGAAAAATGGTAATTTTGTTCTACGGAGGAAAAAAAAATATGGTGCTAATGGCAGTATCTACCTTTGAGCCATGTAGCTCCCTTGTGATTGAAAAAAAGGATAATTTAATAATACAATTATAAGTACAGTATTTACATAGCACTCCGCGGAGTAGCGTTTTTTATTAACCTATAGTCAAAGTGATAATGGTGCGATATTATCACTCGACCGCTCATACCTCCGTCCAGAACGCTCTTGAGCGAATGATAACATCGAACATCGTCGAATATTATGTTTCGAAAATCTGACATATTATAGACATCCCACATGAACGGTCAAAAAGTATTTGTTGTCGTACATATTTTTTCCGGCGGGATGTGCACTACGATGGCAAAATAATCGACCAACTATTGTTTTGTTATTTACATCACATTTCAGTATATGAATCGCTAAATGCAGAAAGGGCACATGTCCAATATTTTACAAAAATCACTTTATTGCATAATCCAATTTAATATTGATAAATTCATGGTTTTGTGCAGACAAGGCACATATCCTATTAAATAGATCCCCGTTAAAAATAATTTAAAATTTCGTTAATTGCAGAAAAGGCACATGTCCTGGACATGTAACCTTTTTGCATCAAAATTATACTTTAGTAATATTATTAGGCCTAAACTTCGTGAAATCACTTTATTGTATAACATGAAATATTGTTTTATTTATAAATTTAATTTTGTATAATTGTTTATCAGTAAATAAAGATTATAATGGGAAAACGTTGCTGTAATAAAACATTGAAACAACGTCGTACAATAGAAAAATTTTTAATTTCTAAGTACCATTATTTTGAATGTGTATCGGAAAAATGTGGAATAATTGAGGCAAGTGAATTTATTGACGGAATAATAACAAACCATTTCAAATTGAGAAAAAACAATGCAATGCCCATACAACTCCCAAAAACACTAGTTTATACTTCAAGCTTACCAATTCTTGAAAGCAAAATGAAAGATTTGAAGCAACTAGCGAAATATATTCCAGAGCCAGCATTGCAATCATTTTGGAATTATATATTTTTGTTACAAACTAAGACTGTTACTAACCTCAAGCAAGGCAAAATAGAACATAAGATATTTATATAATTAAATTTCTAATTATTAAAAATATATCAAATATTTTTGACTCAATATTAGTATATAATCTACTGTATATTATTTAATCATGTCAATTTAACTTTTATGCATATTAAAGCTACTTATAAGAAAACGGTTATTTTCGAAATATAAATGGTAATTTGAAGCATAAACGGCACATGTCCACAACCTTAAAGTCCTTCAGATACCTACAGTTAGATTATATTTCTTTAAGTGATTGTAGAAATATGTATACCATGTCTTTAACTATATTATTCTATAACATACAATTTGTAATTCAATTTTTTTCAAATATTTTAAGTTTTTTGTGTTTCCTGAAAAAATGTAAAACTTGGACATGTGTCCTTTCTACATTTAGCGATTCATATATTTCTGAGTGTAATTTCCACTCGGGTTCGCATTATAACGATACTATAACGACTAATCGTACCATAAAAACCGAACGGAGTCGGTCGTAACATGTACTAGCTAAAGCCCAGGCCAAAGCTGGAACGAAAAAGCTATTAAATTCGAGTTGGACGCGGTCACTTGGCGTTTCGCCCGAATTCAACATTCTCGGCGAAGGTAACGAAGGGACAAAACGGATTGTAGGTCTTTAACAAACTTTCAACGGTGAGAGAAATATATTATATCGCTGCAAGCTGCAGCTCGTGCGGTAAACTAAACATGTGGAATTTCGTCGTGTCTTCCCCTATCATAATACCAGCACATGGATGATGATCGATTTGGCGGTAAAGGATAATGTGTAGGATAAGGACGATGCACCTCTAACACGTTTTTTAACGATAACAGCACACCCCTAGTTTTCATCAGAACGAAGGTGTAAGGGCAAAACGTAAATAACAGTAATTATAATACACGTACGTGCATTGTTTACACTCGATTTTCTTAAACGAATAGCAGAGGATACCGCAGAGCATTACAGTGCGTGGGGCGAAAACCCCCGTGCCATGTTTCCAGGACTTGTTCTAAGGATTTTTACCTATTGCCTAAACACACTGAAAAGTTTGTTTTATGAAATTTATTTGGATTATAATACTTACCCCCTTCCCAAATAAATTGTACATTGATATTTTAGAATTTTGACCAACGCGTGATAAAATATTAAAAAAAAATACGGATTTTTTCCGTTATACGTTACCACTATTTAAATTAAATTTTATAGATCAATCAATCATCGGAGCAGCAAAGATTGTAAACTTACATAATTATTACTTATTAGGTACTAGGTTGGGTTTATAAATTACACAAATTTCAAATACTCAGTAGAAATTCAATCATTCTATAAGAAAAATTATATATTTTTGGAAGGTGCCCTTATTCATAAAGTCAACTCCGCTACTGATTTTTCCTACTACCCAATTTGGGTCATACTGCCCGTTGGGATAAGACCTGGCGGTTTCCGTCTACGATTTTAGGGTGGTCCTCCATATTATTTTTGACCGTCGTACTTTTCGGCGCCACCGCGGGGTTCCGTTATTCAAAAAAATAACACAATTCCAAGAGACGACGAAAACGCGACAAAACCTCACTCGTCCTATCGGCACGATACGAAAATGAATATTTATTTTATTTTTTTTTTTTTTACTCACGCGGGTGCTGGAAAAAACACGTAGGTAGTCGATCCAAAATGGAAAGCGCAACGTGCGCCGCCGATGTCCGGAGACGAGGAAAACAAAAAATCAAATCGAAAAACACAAAAAAAAAAAAAAAAAACAACCGTGGTGCGCACGGGATATCTAATGAAATACAATGTAAACGTTGCGGCGACCGCTGCACGTCATATTTCTCGTCGCGCCCGTCGGGTCCAGGTCGGCACACTTGTGCGGACGCGTATTCGTCGGCAGACTGGCACGTTACCGGCGCGTTTCCCGTGCGGTTACCGGACGGCTACCACTACCACGGCTCGTTCGCTGGCGGAGGGGACGGAGAGTCGGTTTTCGTAGCCTAGCCGCCAGCGTATTATTAAAATAATATCGTTACTATTATCATATCGTGTTCGTCGTCGTCTCTTCCGTTGCTGTTGCGGCCGTCGTCGCAATGCAAACAACGAATCCGAAAACAAAAGAAGAACACGCGCTTCTCCGGCCGACAGCGGTCAGCAGTGGAAGCTGTCGTCTGCGCCTCGACCGCGTTCACCATCATCGACCATCATCATCACCACGGTTGTCGTCAAGGATTTGTTTTTCCATTATTTTCTCTTCACTCCCACCCGGACCAATCAATTACTATCGGAATAATCTCACGGCAGCGGCAGAGAGATTTATACGATACGCAACAACAACGTACGGATATTATTATTATTATATTCCTTTCGCCGTGCGCAGACGATACGATCGCGAGGTATAATAATAATAATAATAATAATAATAATGGTACGGTACACACACGGTTTCGGTCGCCGCCGTAATAATAACGTTGTCAACGCGTCGGTTTTTTATTTTTTTTTTTTTTTTTTTATTGGAAATCTGTCGTCGTCGTGGTCGGTGAAAACGCGCATAATTTCCAGGATGCGGAATGACATCGATAACACGTGCACGGATTCTCGCTTCCGGCACCGTATACGAGCGCTGCAACTTCGTCCGAGTGCATCGCATTTACGATCCGACCGATAATAACGAACCGCAAGAGCTGCACGAGAAGAGAAATACTCGAATGGTCGGCACGTGCACGGAGGGCCGATGACCGTATCGTCGTCGGACGAGTAGTGGCTGTGGAAACGAGAGACGTAAAAGACGGAACAAGACGGAGGGACTCTGTCGCGGTGGTCCGGAAAAGTACTTCAAAAATGTGCCGTCCAGATACCGTACAATAGACGAAATAATGGGATGAGTTTGTGACTTTGGTGGCCCGTCAAACCGTGTATGATGATGATTATGTGCGCGCATTTAACTCCGTTTCATCGCATCGCCGAGTTTCGGATCCGAATACGTTTTCGGCGACGCAAATTTTTCGGCAACCCGCATTGAGCCTTGTGTTTGCGGCCGAAACGATGCAAAGTCTGTCAACGCATAACATCATTATTGCGCGTGCACTATTCATATAGCTCGTTATTGTTTCTTTACTTTTCTCTCTTTTTCTTTATTTGTTTCATTAGAGTTTCTCGCGACGTAATTAATCATGTAGTACCGTACACGCGGCCGTCCGAGGACCTGCGCATCACGGGTCGATAACGAACTTTCTTTTATCATCTGCACTTTTCGAATAATTTTTTAATGCCACTTGTTAAACCTTCTTCAGACCTGGTTCAAATGTTTAGTCGCACCTTGATAAACTTAAGTTTTGCTGCCCCTCACATGTAAACGCTACATCAAATATTTTTGTTTACACGAGTAATACTAAAAAATATACTTAATTCTGAGTTAATTACAATTATTTGTATACAGTTAATCAATTATTGATTAGATCGATTCAATTATAGACAGTGTTGGGGCTTAACTAGATAAATTATCTAGATATATTTTTTGTCATCTTTTATCTTATCTAGATAAATAATGCTAAGTTATCTAATTACTTATCTAAGATAAAATTTTTACTTATCTAGATAATTGTCTGTATTCTTGCCAAGATTAGAGTTATTTTTATTCTTGCACGGAGACGAATCCAACAAATCAGAGATCATCAAAATCGATCCAGCCATTCTTGAATTATAAATTCTGTAACTAACTTGACTTTCTTTTATACACATAGATTTTGTATTCATAATCATAATTCATGTATTATTAATGATTAATTATTATTTCTTGGTATGATATTTTGTTTGTATTTTCATGTCGTGAAAATATTTTTGGTATTTTTAAACTTAATTTCTTATTTTTCCACGGAAGTTCCAAATATAGTAGGTATTTGATTTTAATATACACATGTCACTCATACACTGAATAGTTATTACTTCACTCTTGGAACCCGTAAAATCGTAATTACTTATAGAATAATGAAAATCATCAAATTAATATTATATGGAAAACAATATTGTTAACTTAAAATAATTTTTTATTTATTCTGTATTCATCCTGATACGTACAAAGCAATTTTTTTTTTTTTTTTGTGTAACATTTTAGTGATTAACTATCATTAAATATTGTACATTATATATAAATACTATTTAATGGTACACTACATTACTACAATAAACATTAAACACCTAGGTAACTGTTGACAATAATGATTATAATTGAGTCTTCATAGATATTATTAGAATATGAGAATATGAAATATTGACCAAAAAAAACATTTTTTTGAAAATATCTTTTTTTTTTATCTAGATAAAAATTAAATTATCTTTTGTCTTTATCTAGTTATTTTAATTTTTTTTATCCATTATATTTTTCTAGATGAATTTGGACATATTATCTTTCATCTATATCTAGATAAATTTTGCATTATCAATTCCCAACACTGATTGTAGACAAGTAAACCACTACTGGCTTAAATAAAACAAGGCGATTTATTGTCTTTTATTTGAAAAAATTATCTATAGTATAAAAATGTTAAATGCCACCCTAGACATGAGCCGAGTCTAACCTTCTTGTACAAAGAAAAACCGATCCAGGCGTATTATTGGATTGGATTATTCTTTCCAATTCCGCGTTTCTGCGGGACGTCACTTTTATGCGTTCGAAATAAAAATTAAGAAATTGCATTCCGTATTATTCAAAATAATAGGAGAAGCTAGACGTGCATATTTTAGAAATCTATAGTCAATACGATGCGCCAATGGTGTTATTGCTTAAGTTATTCCCGTTCTAACATTATTGTTGATATCAAATCATCTTGTCAGTGGTAAATGCTAATGGAACAAAATATATGTCGTACATACTTGTACTAACCTTGAAACGCATAGTTTGTATTTTATTGACGGATTTTTCAATAGCATTTTTACTACTACTGTATTTGAATTCGAATCTACCAAACGTGTATGTCCACCATCGAATTATGGGATAATTTCCATGATTGCCTAAAAATTAAAATTATTTAATTATCCATGATGTACAGTTATGAATTAAAAACAATTTTCACAATAATTGTTCCAGCCCAAAGTTTATCCGTGTTTCAAATTAAATGATTCAGGAGACGAAGAACCTTTTGCGTTTTTTAATGTGAAATTACGATTATCGGCAGATTATCGGTAGTTGACTGAATACAGAAGTTGAATTTACTGATGATATAATTATCTTAGATTATTGGATGGGATTTATAGCAATCACATAATACAGGAGAAAAATTTAAGTATTTTTAACAATATTATTCTGTCTCGAGAGAGAAGGAACCATCACAATTTACTATAAATAAATTCGTTGTTGGCAAAAAAAAATTTTCCAAACAACAATAGCTCGCTGATATATATATATATATATATATACGTATTAAAAAAATAATGATATTATGAAAGAATTAATACATTTTTTCATTAAAATTGAGGATCAGTAATATATATATATAGAATACGAGTTAATCAATTATTTTTGGCGTCAGTTCAACACCGCTCATTTTTAAATCATTAAAATATTTTTGTAAAAATGACATCGATTTCTGTTATAATGTTGTAAGTTAGAACTCAATATTACGCGTTTAAAACAATATAATTCGTTAAGTTTTCGTACATTTTTTTAACACCTTAACTATTTTGACTAAACTAAATTGCTTTATTAAACACCGTGCAACATTCAAACAAGTATTTCATTTTCTTATTCATTTCCCCAGTCAATCGATACCATTACAACTTGTTATATTTAAGTAGTTGTGACTAATTTAAAATTTGATAGTATGAGTTTGTCATACTTTTAGTTACTAATGATAGATCAAGCTCGAATTTTATAATAAAAAATATGTAGATACTGTCGAATCGTACCAAATATTTTTTAATATTAATGACGTTATATTTAATTAAATTATTGTATTTGAAATATTAAATAAGTAGATAATGTAGATTTTTTTTTTTTTTTTTGATTTCTGTAATATAATATATATGTAACATTGTAATAATAACAATACATAGAACATGTTTAACGTTTTGTACATTACGTAATAATCCGATTGTTTAATATCATCGTATGGGTAGATAATATTATATTATGATATCGCGATGAAGATTATTGTAACGGGACTACAAAATATCAAATGTTAAGCGAGTTCTGGTGGGAAATCAAACGTCGTACGTTGCTAAAACAATTTATGTAACTCCAACCCTAAAATTAATCTAATAAATGTTTATTATTACAAAATGAAATTATTATTTAAAATACAGTCCACTATCATAATTTTACATTAACGCAAAATACCGATGTAAAGTTGTAATTATGCTATCAACGATACAAGAATATAATATTATAAGTTTTAAAATATTTAGACAGTAATATTATAATGTAGATAACATACGTGTTGCATAATAAACATACATGTTAAACTAAACGCGTTTACAACAAATCTTAAGCTTTTGCCACTACAAAAGCCATTGAAATGTGGACGCAAGGACGACAAACCATGTACGACGGGCACACACACCGAGGTGCAGTATCATATTACAGAATGCACTCACGTTAAAGTCTCTGACGTCAGTTTTCAATGAATATTATTGTGTTTATTATTATTACGATACGAACAGTATGAGGACGTGTTATTCGGTAATTTGTCTATAGTAATGAAATATTATTTTTTTTAATTTTTATTTATTAAAATTAAAATGTATCAACATATTACATGTTACGAAAAATTAGTTATTAATAAAATATTATAATTTTGTTCGAAAACCACGTAAATTCTTAATTCTTTAACAAATCACGGGTCGGTTCAGATAAAAAAAAAAAAAAAAAGGAAAGATCGTTTGTATCATTACAA